GCAATTGAATATTCACTTGGAAAGTGTTTATAAAAATCTGATTTTGACATAATAAAACCATGAAACGTGGTCGTATGTGAAATTATGTGTGTGTGTGTGTGTGTGTGTGTATGTGTGTGTGGCGTTATACGAGGCACGAAACAACTTTAACACAAACAAAAACAGAAAAAAGCTACTGCTGAATGGCGTTCATTATACGTTATAAACAACATCCCAAGGTTAATAATTTCTCATTGTGTATTTCTTGGTATGACACCCGTGGTTAGTGCCACTACTACCTTCCCGAAAATGCGAACTACTTGTTAATATCACATGGCTCATTAAAGCATACTTAAGGGAAATACATTTTCAGCCTTTAATAAAAACAGTGTACAACATAAATGTGTGTTTATTATAAATATCTTATTACGTACACGCGTGTATTAAATGTGTTGTATGGGGAAAATATATATTCGACTTTTTATATTTAACCTTTGTATAAGAAAGTTCGATTTTGACAATAACGCTTGACTGATATCCCAACATAAGGTGAAAGAAATCGCGCCCGCATTCATTTCTCGTTTAGTATTTCTCAGTCGCACACAGTCTATGACCAGTGGGAATGCAATTTCACGATAACAACAGAAGCAAATATAACAACCCGAATATTGATTTTACTCAACTGACCCAACCGAACCTTACTAATGATTAGTAATGAAGGTAATGTCGATGTGATGCTTCGATAATAAACTGATGGACATACGAAATGACGCGGTATCTCTGTAGTTACTACTCGCTGAATATGCATCAAAGTAATCTAGATCTTGAATTCGTAATTTAATTTCGCTAATAAAAGCATATTCTGCTTAACACAATCAGATTTGTTGGCGGTAAATGGACTATAAACGTGATGAATATCAATGAGATGCTGATAATGCGTTTTTATTTTGATTTAGGAGATATGCTTAAACCATTTTTGAAGAAAGACGATCGTATAGATGAGGGGATGATTGTAATGTAATCCACGTAACCAAGTATTTGTCGGATGGCTCATCAGCCATGCCATTGATATATACTATGCTCTGTATATGGCTTTGAAGAAAATGTTCCGCTTTCGGGTGACTTCTTTGAAACATAGCATTTTCATATAAACAAATACAGATATGTTAAAACTAGGACATTTAGCAAATACGCATTTCCTTTCAATGCACACCATATTTACAAATGGTATTTAGATGGAAGTAATACATATTCAACAATATAGACGTTAGCTGTAAACCGCCCCACTTGTTGTTTAAAATAATTGATATTCTTTTAAAGTGGAAATAACATACCAAAAGTGGATACTTTACAAATTTACAAGTTGAAGAACAGAGAGATATATGTACCTAATGGTATACATATGTTTATAAAATTTAGCTTCGCCTGGCAAGTGAAACATTTTGATCATTCGAGAGAGTCTGTTGTACGTGGTCATGGTGAATGTGCCAGGTATATACGCTGTATTTTTTTTCTGTATAGAAACATTTGACAGTGGGTGATTTATTATTACATGTGTCGATTGATGATCACTGCATAGGTTTATGTCCAACCTTTTAATTGTCTATGCAAATATGCCAATTTATGCTATACAAATATGTCAATGCAATATTTAATAACCCGAGCACATACAATATATACAAAAGTATGCATCCACTGTCAGTATCGCTGTATTCAATGTTGGTTTAAGGTCATATTTCCTATAACATTTGTTTTTATTAAAACAGCGAAGAATTTGTTAAAACTAGTTGAGGGATATTCTATGGAAACCCTCTGTGCGGTGTAGCCATTCATTCCGGTCATATCTCTTGTAACATAGCTGTTTAAAGGACAGATGAGCAAGATTTGTTCTATGGATATACATTGATGTATATATGGAAGCCAAATGTTGTCAGTGTGTCGTGGTAATGGCTAGTTTGGCCTAGTTTACCAAAGGGAATTTGTTTTCCTAAATGTTCACTCTGAATCCATTGTAGAATACTAGGTGGAATTATTTTGAACAAAATTGTATACATTCATTAAACTATATCAGTTTTAAAAATTACACCATATTTCAACAAAGGTTACTAATACATCAACCTTACTGGTTGACAATATTTACTGTATTTAATTCAAAAGTGTCGGCGGCATAGTTGTGCCTAATAGATGGTTATAGGTAATTATTATGCTATATTTTGCGTTCATTAGTCGCCTCACTTTAATACAAATTCTGTTATTAAATACCGCTCCACAAAATCGTTCGATAAACGTTCTCGGAACAATGTTTCGAAAACATCTGCCCTCGAAAATAACAGTAGCAATACCAAACGCATGTTTAGCTGCATGTTATATGAGAAACCTGGCACTATTATAAGGAAATTATCACCCGTGATGGTCAATGATATCATCTATTTAAAGCATATTTTTTAACCGTGGTGACCAGATTCATTGGTCCACGGCAAAGCACACCAAGAAAAAATCTTCGCCGTTGCATAATTTTTCTAGTGGATAATGAATGGGACATCTTTTGAAATAATTCCGTTAACTGACAAAACCATTGGTTTCGATGCCACTTTTTAGAAAATTTTGGCAAATACAATCACTCCCTTCTTAACTACTACCATCATATAATTATTTATCCTAGACGTATTTATCCGAACATATAGGAGTTAGCAAACACTACAAATATGGAGATAAAGTTAATGTTAACATTTATCGTCTCGTTTCTGTCACACCAATGATTTTTTTAATCTCAAAAAGACAAGTTTTTTTGCATATTCGAAAAAATATTAACATCATTATTGATGTACAGTCAGGTTTTTGTTTTCGGAAAATGTTTTTTTTTTTTGACAAATTTGTGGGATGTTTTTTTTTCACGATCGTTGTAATGTGTTTGATCTTGTGGTGGGTCAGAGAATCGTATGAAACCTTTGAATCTTATCAATGCTCTGAATTTCAACTACAACAGGTAAAATTTGAGGGTACATTTTTCTATATTTTACCAGTAAGTACTGCTGTACCCCAGCGTTCGGAAATCGGTCATCATTATTCATTCCCATTATTGAAGATCTTAATCTTTTTCTTTAGACTATTTGGGTCTGGTTTCATAAAGAAAATATCACCACTCCAAGGAAGGACGACCATAATGATGTTTAGTACGAGATGACAGAATTACATAGCTTCCTAAACAAATTTTATAATCAATTTTATTGTACAAATTTCTCAATCGGCTGGCTCCAACATATATAAGAAACCTTTTTAAATATTTGTCCGAAATATGTTCCCGTAATCGCATTCTCTTGCTTCATTCGTCTTGAATTATGTAATATTGTTTACAAAAAATATGATTAGAACGTGTTTTCGACCTATTTAAAATACAATTGTTAAATTTACTCAACAATATTTGAGTGTCTTTTTGTTTGCTTGTTTGCTAAATAGCCTGTTGATGTTTTTTGTGATGTTTTGATTTTTTGTTGTATTAGTTTTATGTTGAGGGTTTTAAGGACGATTATAAACATCTATATAACTGTATGCTTAGAAATAAGGTGAACATGTTTATGTATATATTTAACACAATTACTAATGTATGGTGTATTCAATGCCGAATATTATGAAAGGCACACTAGGCGGTGGCGTGTTGAATAATTGTCATGTCGAAGAGGAAATCCTGGCCATCGAAATTGTGCTTTCTATGTTAAAACGGGTAAAACAAGCTAATTCGACTGGCTATTGCTAGGATAATAAAACCTTCTCTTCAATAAACAACTGCCTGCACGCGGATCGGATTTCGGTGTTATCTTATTTAGACAATTTCGGATTTGGTTCTACCACAAGTGGAACAAATTAAATAAAGTTTAAATATATCAAAACAGTCAGTGCCTCGCCAGTTCGTTCGGACCATGTTAATATTAGGTTTATTTTTGTGTAGAATAAATCTGCACGTTCTTTGTGACGTCAGAGATTCGAACTGCGCATGTCCAACTAGTCATTGTAAGAACGCGTTCACTGCACGCCATTTGAAACTGTGTTGTGGGAGTGTAAGACGTGATAGCAGGGAGTTCGTCTTTTTACAGTTGTGATGCTCGTTTACAAAGTTGTGAGTTCTATTCTTGTGTTTCATGTTAATATTTTCGTGTTTGTGCCTGCAATTTCGAGTACAAATGAATTTTTATGTGCTTAAATGGTTATTTTCTTTTTTGTGATTTTCAGTTACAGCAAGATTCAAATATTAATAGCCGCGAGTTTTATAACATTTTTGCACTCGGTGGTGGATTTATCTAAAAAAAATGTTTTATACACTGGCTTGTTTTCAAACAAAATTTCGTAGTGTATATGCGAGTAGTGGTATATATTTGTATAGGCCTGATTGTGTAGCTAACACTGTTTGAAACATTGTTATAAGCGTAGGAAACAAGAAAAAGCATAGTGTGAAAGTTACACATGAAACAAAACACTAGAAGCTAAATTTCGGCACCGATTACTGTTTTGTGTAGTGCATCTCATTTCAACCTTGGAAATTTTACAGCGCACTCGAATAGTATTCATTTCTGTGTACTTTTCCCAATAATATTTTAGCTTGCTAATGATGTGGCAAGGCTCCAAAACTCTAACACTCTGAGACCAACACCATCTAAACATAAAACATGCAATACATACACTTTCTATACAACCATCAGTGTCAGTAGTTCTGCACAGTTGAACTCTCAATATTGGAAATGTTCCACAGTGCAACCATCAGAGTCTGTCCAGATATTTGTAACTTCACATCACAACCACAAATGACTCTTGTATTAAAGGATACGTTGATGGATTTATCTTGTTTTGTTAATAGATTGTCAAACAGCTGACCCTGCTCATTTAACCCTGGCAAACGAAGTACATAAATTACGACTCTTTCCACCTACTGCTGGGAGAATCTATTAAAATAAATTTATCGATTTATGTTGTGTGTGTGTTTTTTTTCAGTAAATTTACAGGAGCTGAGCCTTCTAAACTTCATAATTATGTCATCGTCAGTGAATTCTACTACGTCTGCACCTAATATAACAGTCTACTTACCGGTACCAGATGTGAGCCCTGAAGTTATCATAATACCCGTTATATTTGGGCTGGTGTGTATTTTGGGATTAGTCGGGAACTCTTTGGTCATCATTGTAGTGCTCAAAGAGAGAAAGATGAAAACCACCACAAACCTATTCATTCTTAACTTGAGTCTTGCAGACTTTTTCTTTTTATTGATCTGCGTGCCGGTTACAGCTGTGAGCTACGCCAGTCCCAGTTGGCCATTCCGACAATTTATATGCAAAATAGTCAACTATCTGCTTTTCGTCAACATGTACGCTAGCGTCTACACTTTACTCATGATGTCGTTCGATCGTTACCTGGCAGTGGTATACCCGATACGGTCTATGAAGTTCCGCAATGTTCGCAATGCTTCTACCGTAGTGATCACTATGTGGTGTGTAATTCTCTTAGCACTTTCTCCCGTCGCTGTGAAATTTCAAACATACTCCTTCGTAGACGAATACGGGCGTTCTATAACGTACTGTGGTGCATCTTTTACACCGTTCGAATTTAATCTATTCTGGCTCCAACTGTTCTTCACCTCGTATCTGGTGCCTCTTATCATAATAAGCATCACTTACTTTTTTATGTTGAAACGCCTGTGGACGGGGGTAGCGCCCCAGGGTTCACATACGAAAGAGAGTGTCAAGCAGAAGAAAAGGGTAACGAAAATGGTCGTGTTTGTAGTGATTATCTTCTGTGTAACGTGGATGCCGATACAGATAATGTCAGTGCTTTTAACTCTCGAGTTAATACCTTACAGCGAGACCACGACAATATGTCTCTGGATTGGCAATATTCTTTCTTACATCAATTCATGTGTTAACCCCATTATATACGCATTTCTATCGGACAATTTTAGAAAATCATTCAAGAAAGTATGCATATGCTACAGAGAAAGTGCCCAAATTGATTTCGATCGGACGGACGGCCGCGTATCGGAAAACTCTCCTGGAACACAGACGGTTAGTGCCTGACAACCAAAGTCGCCTACACGTGCGAATACCACGTGTGTCGTTGCCAAGACGAATACATCGACAGTTTGAAGAATATCACAAATGTGTCCTCTGTATAAACATTCCTTTTTTATGTCAGGCAATGTTTTATTAATAATATGTGACTTGCTTTTATTTCAAATACATATATATTTCGACGTATCTATGTTTTATATTTACTCACGATTTCGTGATGTCGAGACTGCGTTTTAACTTTTTGTAAATTAGATTCAGCATCACAATATTCATTATCAGACTCAATTTATTGTTAGATGCTCTGCTGCATATTGCATTACAGTTTTGACATTGTAAAGTACTATTTATAAAACCGTTAATGATTTGTTAATATCATATTTATCATTGAAGAAATGCTAACCATATAAATGTATAATGTATCATTTGCAATTAAATGTCGCATTAATAAAAGTCGATCTTTTTTATGTGTGTCCACACAATTCTACAGTTATTGCTTCTTTTCTGTTCTTTTCTGTATATTTTCTAATGTCAAAGGTAGAACAGTTGATCACTCACCCTTAGTAATGTAACAAACAAGTGCCCGAAATCGATGGTCATTTACCATTATAGTAGAAAACGACGCCATCTTGGAAATAGTGTGTTGCATAGTGTTTGATTTTACCCACGATGCATTGCGGTCCGATTATAGTTTTAGGTTGTATGCAGCGTATGTTTCATTTCAAGAAAAACAAATTCGGGTGTATTTTTGTTAGTGTTTTATTGTATTTACATAAAACATGAAAGCACATAGACTGAACAGTCAGAAAACTGTTTACAACAATTTAACTGTTTTGATGAGAAACACAAGCATGGATTATGCGAAGCACGTCAGTGTATGGAAAGAATGCACTGATGTTTTTTGTACAGTTTATGGCACACACAGTCTGCTTGAATACGTTTATATATATACGATCATGGCATACAGAAAGAATGTCGTTCTTGCACAAAAATTTAAAATACAAGTTTGTCTACGAAACGACCAAGATAATGTATGACTGAGAGTGCTTTTTTGCAATTTAGGACAACACACTGATTTAGTCATTTTATTACTACCAGTATCACCTGGCCGAAGCGAAACGGCCACGTGTGGTCAGTCATAATTGGTGTTCACAGTGTAATTAGTGTAATATAATAATATTATGAATGTTTCCACGATAAGCAGTGCGTGCAATGTTATATTCAGACTGGCGCTCGAACTGTGCGGTTTGTAGTGTAGTTTCATGCATAATCACTGCAAACCAAAACCCAAATCGTAGAAATGCAGGTGAATCACCAATGAAACAAATTTACAGGAAATCCTCAACCCGTACTACGAAGTATAGTATAGTATATTTTATTTTGGAATCACACAGTGAATACACAAATTGTTAACTGAACACAACACAACACAAGCACATACATATTAGACTAGTTTAAAATCGTGGTAAAATATACCTATTATTGCCACAAACCACACATTATATCTATAGGGCAAAACCACAACACCTTACATACCTGAAAATGGGAAAAAAATAACTTCAACTTCGAAAATTTTACAGACCCGTCAAGTGTCTCCCAAACCCGTTGGTAAGTTTCTACTATTTCAAAATCAGTGAAAATAGTGGTAACACGTCAAGTGTTGATACCCATTGGAGAAAGGCTACAGCACACCCCCGACGAATTAAAGTTTTCTGGGTACAGAGTAAAAGAATTCAGTAAAAATAGTACATAATAAGTAGTAAAACAGGGAGGCCAATTCAAAAAGTTCTGACTTATGGCGCAGTGGCGGCACAGGAAGGGGGGGGGGGTATTGGGGGGCATCCAAAATCACGCTGAAATTCTTTTTATCAGCAAAATTTGTCCGTTAAAATGCATGAAATAGCGTTTCAGAGGTCTAGATTTCAAAATTCGTAAAGCAGGCATTCCCCAGACCCATAATAAGATAGTTAGGTCGCGCCTTAGGCGCGAGGTTGGTGAGCCCCCCCCCCCCTCCATGCAATTTTTTTGTCGTCACAGACGTTTTACAGCGAGCGCAAGATAATTACATACACATCTAGTTTACTGATCGGGGATCCCAATAATACTAGCATAGTGAACCCACTCTTGGAGCTGTGATTGAGTAATATATTAGATGCCCACTTGGACAAGAAACGTTGTAGCTCATATGTCGTTATTAGTCTCGCTAAGAAGACCATTAAACAATTGTATTACTGCATGATATGAGCTAGATCGAGGTGATGGAATAGCATTGGTTAGCACGATCTGCACAGACAGTGATCCTGCAGACACAATGGTGATGTTTTGACCATGGCGAAATGGATCAGTTCCAGAAGCATTCATGTTGATATTTCATAATTTTTTTTAGAAAGACAGTTTATGTTTCTAGCTATAACCCAAGTTGAACGGACAGTGGAATCACATATACGAAGAAACTTAATAGATACCCTATATATATACTAAAATCAAAATCAGACTGTTTCCAAGTTGAGGTAACATAAATTCATGAGATTCCTTTTTTTGACACTTTATTACTATATACATCCAATACACGCGTATATGCGTCAAATAACTAAATAACACCCCTTTCACGCGTTTTTTTTTTTTTTTTACTTCAGCTTGCGTACCATATTTTTTTCAGAGAACCCCCCCCCCCGGAACCAAACAAGCAATAATAAGTGATGATCATTTAATAAGTTGATCAAATGAGTGCAGGAGTGACTATGAATATCAAACAGCAATCCGTGAAAGGTTAATCCTGACAGGAAGCTATTACAAAAGACACAGGTCGAATAGGTTAAATCTATATATATATTCATAGCAACATATCAAAAATGCCTTTGACCTTTTGTATCACTGAGCGTTGCTTTCCCAGCGTGACTCACTTCGTCATCATGCGTAAAATTAACATTACATCTTGGAGTACAGTATCAATCAGGTGCACATTCTACAAGATAACATCAAATATCATTCAGATACCTAAGCTTTTAAACTTTCATTTCGTAAAAAATAATTAGACTAAGATTGAATCGCATTTGTAGCAGCAGCAGAAAACAGACACCATTTGTAAAATAACATGAAGATTTAATTAAATGTTCTATCATGGATTGAAGAACAAACACACAGAGTCCCAACGTAACTATGCACATTGATATTCTCTGTAAACTTTCATGATTCTTAGTCAACCATTAAAATGGTGGTGGTGATTTAAAACAACAATAATGAATCCAACCATCCGAGATCAATATTTATTCGCTTTGCAGCCAGGAAAAAATCGTCGACACATCAGATGTTAGCAAGGGCCAATCGCGATAGAAATGAAGCACACTATCAGAATGACTGGATTATATATATAGAACGGCAATGTCCATCATAATACACACTAGGCGTGATACAGAAAAAAACCACATTTAATTTTCTTTCAACTTCCATATTATAATTTCATATTATATGGTAATTCGTTATTAATACTTTCTGTATTATCAATTGATTCAGAAGTTGTAAATTTCTATGATTATAATTAGTACAAGTTGTGAGGTATTTGGCACAAATTGTGACAGCTGCAACACTTATTTCTACAGTGCTAAAAACTTTGATGAATTAAATTTATTCATTGCAAGTCAAAATGTGTTTAATCTATATAATTATTCTTTGGAAACAAAAGGCAGAACACGTCAAAGGGGTGGTTGATTAAAATCATAATTTGATTGATGTTGAGGTACATTATGCTGACATATTGTGGGTAAATGTTAATAATGGTGGGAATAAGTCGCTTGAATGGTACCGCAGTTCATGAGGTGTCAGATTTATTGACAAGGTTAGATGACAAAAAAGCAGCTATGATCAAATAAGTGCTAAACTCCTTGTACATGCCGCGGAGAATATCTCTAAGCCCCTATCTCACATTGTCAATCTTTCGTTCTTTTCAGTCTCCAAATGCTCTTAAAATAGCAAAGATTACCCTTATCTTTAAAAAGACTCCTTTTGACCCTGGTAATGATAGACCTGCCCCAACAAAGTTAATTTTTCGCGAAAATAATCAACAAACAATTACCTGTTTATCTGAATAAATTCAATGTATTTTATTCCAAACAGTACGGCTTTAGAGTAAAACTGAGCACAACATTCTCTTTTATGGTTCTAGCACAAAATGTATTAAATGAAATTGATAAAGGGAATGCAGTTCTTTGAATTGTTTTTAGATTTTAGAAAAGCGTTTGACACAGGCAATCATTCAAAATGTGGTGTTCCCCAAAGCTCCGTACTTGGTCCTACTTTTTTCTTTATGTTAACGAGATCGCATTAGCATTTACGTATTCAGAAATAGTGTTACCCTACATTATGTTAATGTAAGTTAAACTGAATATATTTTATTTAACTATAAAAATACAAAAAGTAACGACTTTTGAAAGTTTGACAATTAAAAAAGATAATTATTAGTGAGTGAGAGAGTACTACACATTTTGGTGTGCTACAGGTCCGCAATTTGAATTGGAAAAAAAAACATATTATTCATGTGATGAGCAAAATAAGTGTCAAAGCAGATATCATTTATAAATTAGGAAAATTTGTTCCAAGATTAATTTTATTATTAGTGTAATTCATTTATTTTGCAACATATTTCATATATGCTGTAAACCTGGAGGAACCTGCAAAACTCATTTACATTCAATACAAACTAAAAAGAATTGAATTGGTTCACCTCATTTCCACATACATGTCCATTGTTCAATAGCTGTAATATACTTGACATATACAAACATTACCAGATACAATTATCCCTTCTCGTCTTTGAGAGCCTTCATGGACATTTTGCTAATTCTATTTCACTTTCAGCTTGTATCCAAAACTTATGGTAGATTTCAAACTAAAGTACCGTAGTAATGCAAGCCAACATTCCATTACAAATACTGGCACTACCAAGCTCTGGAACCAGCTACCGCTATGTATTTTATATTATTATTATTTATATATACAGATTTAGATTAATG